AGGCGCGCCTGGGATGCCCCGCCGCCTGTATACTCGGCGTATAAGACGACCCCCGATTTTTGGGGGATGTTTTTTAACATCAAAAGTCATCTTATACGCCGGAAAATACGGTACTCATATTATACAGGGAATGGAGATAGGGCCGTATTTTCATCTTGACAACATTATAACTTGCTGTAGGATGTCGGGGGGGGAGGATAAGGCGCGCCTGGGATGCCCCGCCGCCTGTATACTCGGCGTATAAGACGACCCCCGATTTTTGGGGGATGTTTTTTAACATCAAAAGTCATCTTATACGCCGGAAAATACGGTACTCATATTATACAGGGAATGGAGATAGGGCCGTATTTTCATCTTGACAACATTATAACTTGCTGTAGGATGTCGGGGGGGGAGGATACACTTGTATGTAATTGGAAAGAAAAAATCCACATGTAAGTTACACCACATTAATTTTCTTTTCAGAGTTCTCTATCAGTTTTACAGAAGAAATATTAGTCCTAGTTTTAGGATTCATAATTACCATATGAATTGCATAAGAAATATACTATGTTTGATACTAGCAGTGGTATAATTGCCAATGATAATCACTGGCCATATTAAGTTTTATGTGTATTTTTCAAGTTTTTCTGTAATTTTTCTGTGGTGTAACTGTTGCCTTACCTTGCTGGAAGGTTTTTTTTTATTGTTATTAATTATATTTTGTAAACAGGTGCTTTGAACTTCTGACTGTTGTGTGCCTGTAAGCACTTCCAATCTTGAATTATACTTTTTTGTATCTTAGTTTGAAAGTTTAGTTCAAGCTGTTTAATAGAGACATTGTAGAAATGTGAGGAGAAGGATAAAATCTAAAATGTTTATGCAAAAATAACATAAAACACTTCATTATAAATAGATCCATATTCCATATATTAACAATGTTCCTAATTATAATATAAAACTTGTTTGTGGCCAAGATTGTATTGTATTTTTATAAAAATATTAGTCATATGTAGTTTGTACAAGATTGTGTCCATGAACATTTTTATTTCAATACAACAAATAAAATGATAGTGTTTTTCTGATTAATATTGAATATTGCAATGTAATAATCACAGCCTAGAATACAGGTAAGAGTCAATGTAAACAACTAAATTTAAATGAAAAACTTAAACAAAAGTTTACCTACAATGGATTTAATTAAATCTACAGCTTTTCTTGGTAAATAGATTTAGTGTGTACTGTATGGTACCTTGACTATACTACTGTATACTATGTCTCTGATTCAGAAAGGAGCATACCCACTGCAAAAGTTTATTTCTCTCTGGCATAAACTAAGCCATGTTAGGTTGTAAGTTATAAGGAATAAATACTGATCAAAATATCAATCACTGGACCTAACAAGCAGTTTTTGGCACAACAACCTGCAAGATTTGTTTTACATCTCCAAGGAAGAACATTAGGTTTCAGAACATCTGTCAGCTGGTTGATTGTCATACATATTTCCATGAGACTCTTCAGAGGTATCACTGTTGCTCACTGAGGAAAGAGGAAAAAATACAGTGATGTTTTAGAAATAAAATAGCAACGTATATTTAATAGTAAAGAACCTGATGCACCATCACTTCCTCTGCAGCTATTTATTTACATTAGCTTAAGAAAATAAGAACAGTCATAATGAGTCAGACCATTGGTCCATCTTGCTCATTATCCTCTCTTCTGACCATGTCCATTACCAGATGCTTCAGAGGGAAAAAACAGAACAGAGCAATTATTGAATGATCATCCCATCATCCATACCTAGCTTCTGGCAGTCAGAGGCTAGAAATCCCAGAGCATGGAGTTGCATCCTAACCATGCTGACTCCATTGACGGATGTACCCTCCATGAAATTATCTCATTATTTTTTGTTTTGGCCTTCACAATTTCTCCTGGCAACGAGTACCATCGCTCAGTGGTTTTCAGACTTTTTTTCTGGCATCCCAGTTGAAGAAAATCACTGATGCCCACGACCCAACAGAGCTGGGGATGAATTATTTGGATGTGGGAGGGTGCTCAGGGCTGGGGCAAAAGGGTGGGGTGCAGGGATGAGAAATTAGGTGTATAGAAGGGGCCTCTGTGCCTGGGGAGGGCTCAGGGCTTGGGCAGGGGATTAGAACATGGGTTTGGGGCTTACTTCTAGTAGCTCCCAGTCAGAAATACAGCAAGGTGCTAAGGCAGGCTTCCTGAATGCCCTGGCACCGCAAACTACCCTGCATTCCCAGAGTGGCCAGCAGCAAGTCCAGCTCAGAGATGGAGGTGTGCAAGTGGCTCTGCAAGGCTTTTGCCTTCAGGAATTGCCCCCCAGCTCTGCAGAGCAGGTGCTTGGGGCGGGGAAACAGCCTCTGTGACCCCTTTGCCTAGGAGACGGACAGGGCACAGCACAATGTCAGAACAGGTAAGGACCAGCAGTTTTCAAAGTGCGGGTTGCAACCCAGTCACAGCCAGGCAGCACCACTGATGAGACTTTTAACCAGAGCCGTTCCGTTCATAGGATTGTTCGAGGTGGCCGCCCCAGACCCTGCGCTTTTGGGGCCCTGTGGTGGCTGCCCAAACCGTCTTATGGACAGGAGGGACCAGGGCACTCTTCTTCCTGCTGCCATGAAGTGGACTGCAGCAGGCCGAGAGAGGGCAGCAGGATGCAGCAGAGCAGGCTGCCAAACCACTCTGACTCTCGTCACCTGTGTAGTGAGTGGAGGGAAGGGTAATCCCTGCTGTCACTGTACCAGGCCTTTCATAATTCCCCAGGTCATGTTGCTCGGGAGGGGGAGAGGAGGCAGGCTGGGGCCTGTGGCAGGGGGTTGCCCTGAGTCCCATGCCTGGAGCAGTGGGGAAGCCTTGGGACGGCCCTGCTTTTAAAAAGCCCAGTCGGAGGTGCTGACCAGAATTTCAAGGCTCCCTGGGTGCTGAGCAAGGCGACCCAATGCCTTCCATTGCATCCCTCAGTACTGGGTCGTGAGTTGCACTTAAAATCAACAGTCATAGGTTGACTATAAGTTGTGTGAAGAAGTACTTCTTTAGGTTTGTTTTAAAACCTGCTGCCTGTTAATTTCATGGATGGCCCCTGGATCTTGTATTGTCTGAAGGACACTTCTTTCTTCTCTGTCTCCACTCCATTCATTATTTTATATACCTATATCATATATCCCAGTCTTTGTAATCTTTCCTCATATGGAAGCTGTTCCATACCTCTAATCATTTTTGTTTCCCTTCTCTGTAATTTTCCCAATTCTAATATATCTTTTTTTTTTTGAGAGAGAGAGAGAGAGAGAGAGAGAGAGAGAGAGAGAGAGAGAGATACCACAACTGCATTCAACAGTGGACATATCCTGGATTTAAATAGAGGCATTATATTTGCTGTCTTATTATCTCTCTCTGTCTTTAGGGTTCCTAACATTTTTTGACTGCTGCAGCACATTGAGTGGATGTGTTTAGAGAACTATCCACAATGACTCAAAGATCACTTTCTTGCATGGTAGCATCTGATATAAATCCCTTCATTTTGTATGTATAGTTGGGATTATATTTTTAGGGTACCTTTCTATACATTTATTAACATAAATTAGCTTGGGCAAACTAACAGACTAACCAATAACTAATGCAACCTTGTGACCTGTTATCTACCAGGAGCTAGCCAGACTAAAGATTTGCAGAGAGTAGATATAAGGTTTGAAGGGCAAACAATTAGTTTTAGCAATAATACTGGATCCTGAAAGCATGGATAAGTCAAGCAAAGATACTTTAGACATATACTAACGCCCATTACAAATTCCTGTTAAATGATCGTCATATATTAATAACTGAGCCTTCATTTTGTAACAATATCTTATTAATTAAATGCATATACACATGAAATAATAGTCATTAAGCTGTAAATGATGCCTAGAGTCTCATCAGGTATTTGAAAGGACTTCAGTATGTATTAAGAGTTTTAAATCAAATCATCATCTATGTGTTTGGAATTTGCAACCCACCACTTCCTATCAAGCCTGTTTTAAATCATCTTATAGGGAGGACTATCCAGCAGTAGTGTTAGTATGCTATCGAGCTCTTACATGCTGATTTATAAACACTTTAATTTTTAGCATAATTAAAACTGCCCAACCTTCAAGGAATCTTTTTATTTGTAAGCTAAACAAGATTATACATGGAGTCACTAGGAACCCATCATACTATTTTTAAAGGTTGCTTTTTGGAGCAGAAACACATATTAAAAAGTAGTATTTGTACCCATGGGCTGTGTCTACACTGCACCCCTTTTCCGGAAAAGGGATGCAGATTAGATACTTCGGAATTGCAAATCCGCGGGGAATTTAAATATCCCCCGTGGCATTTGCATTTACATGGCTGCCGCTTTTTTCCGGCTTGGGGATAAGCCGGAGAAAAGCGCCAGTCTAGACGCGATTCTCCGGAAAATAAGCCCTACTTTCAAGTAGGAATAAGAAATCCTCCGGAAAAGGGCTTATTTTCCGGAGAATCGCGTCTAGACTGGCGCTTTTCTCCGGTTTATCCCCAAGATGGAAAAAAGCGGCAGCCATATAAATGCAAATGCCGCGGGGGATATTTAAATCCCCCGCGGATTTGCAATTCCAAAGTGTCTAATCTGCATCCCTTTTCCTGACAAGGGGTGCAGTGTAGACACAGCCATGTAGTCTAGTTGGTGGCAACCATATACATAGATTCTCTCTTAGTGCCCAAAATAATGTTTTCTTTAAATTTGCAGTTAATACATAATACAGTTACTACCACTACATTCACTATGGTGAATATGTTTTCAAAATCAAAAACTGGGCCACTTTTATGGGGACGAGTATTTAGGCTTGCAAAATCTTCACGTAAAAACCAAAAATACATTTCCTTTTAAAATCTATACTAGGGTTATTGCTGTTGCCTTAGGATTCAACAATATGGTCACATTTCTTGGATTGCAGGAATAAACTCCAGTAGCTCTGTGTTCTGAATTTGTCATGACACACTGTGTATACTCTGAACAAAAGAACTGCTTTGTGTCAACACTCATTCAGCTTTTCTCTGGTCTCACAACATGTGGAACAAACAGAACACCTGTCCACTTCATCTTTTTATTTCTGGTAAGCACAGAGCAAATTCTATTTGGAACAGCAATATATTATGAATAAACATTGTGTAGCTATTAAAAAATGTTTGGCTTGATGAAGGGAAAAAAACTGGATGAAAAACCAGATCATATGGCCTCTCTATTAGTACAATACAAAACATCTTTTACCTTTTTAATCACAAGAGGGTGACAGGTGTTTAGTGATCTTACATAGTACTGTATAATGGACTGAGCAAATTAGCAAACAGATAGAGGAGGGGAATCTATTTACCATTTTGTGTGTGCGTGCGCGCGCGCACACACACACACACACACACACACTTACTTTGACAGATCCCTGGTGAACAATGAGTTATTTTTTGCTCAGCTTCCCCCTCTTCTTTTACTAGTGCTCTGCAGATTCATTTCACTATCTTACTCTCTCCTTTAGGAATATGTAAAATCACATGGAATGGTATCTCACATGGAATGGTATAGGGATGTAAGTGACTAGTTGACTATCTGATAAGCAAAAGCTTATTGGATAGTTGACTCTGAGGCAGCAAGGGGAGGAAGCAGGAGCCAGTGCTGTGGGGGGGGGGGAGAAAGCCAGCTTAAAATCCGGTTCCCACCAGCACCATCTCCATGAGGGGCAGGGGAGGCAGGAAGGTAGCAGGGACCAGGAGCGAGCGGTCAGGTGATTCCTGGCTCATGTCTAGTCCCAGACGTGCCTCTGCTTTTTAAATATATTAAGAGCTGACATGCTCTTAATGCATTTAAAAGGCTAAAGCACAGTAGGGGGGACCTAGCGTGAACCAGGACAGCTGATTCCTGGCTTGTGCCTGGACCCCACTCCTCCCCCTGCCTCCACTCCCTCTCATGGAGACTGGGCTGGTGCACAGCAGAGGGGACCCTGCGTGAGCTGGGAATAAGCTGTCCATGCTCACGCTGAGTCCCTCCTGCTAAGAGGACAGTCTTTTAATACATTTAAAAGACAGAGCTGAAGTGGGGCTAGCTCCCAGGTCAGGAGCTAACCCTGCTGCAGTTCCCAGCTTATCAACCAATCGACTAGTCGATGGAAAATCCATCGACTAGTCGATTAGCTTATTAAACTAAATTTAACATCCCTAGAATAGTAACACTTTCTTCTGGAAAGCCTGTTCAGCAAGGTACTTAAGCACATGCTTAAGTTTAAACCACGTCTTCCACAGCAAAGAAAAGCTGTGTTTGGCTTGAAAGCAGGCAGCACAACAGAATTGCCAGGCCCCTGGGCACGAAGGTGAGGGGGGCAGCTCCACTGTCCTGGAAGGGTCAGGGCTTCAGTCAGAAGGGGCAGGGCTGGAGGCAGCACCACATCCCCTCCCCTCAGCCAGCTCTTAGTGGTGCCTGGAGTGCACCATCCAGGGCTCTGGTGATAATTTAAAGTATCTGGAGCGCTCTCTGCACACTGCTGCAGGAGCAGCAGCCTAGAGCCTTGGGACAATTGCCTCCCCCCTTTCTGTGGACCTGCTTGAAAGCTTGTTTCTTTCACCAGCATAAGTTGATCCATTTAAAGATATTTCCTCACCACCTTCGCTCTCTAAACTACGAGTAGTTCTGTTGTCGCTAAGAGAAGTAATCAAATTACTGAAAAGTCTCAGAGGCGTAGCATAGTAGCACATAGTGAGCCTGCTTGGCAACATTGCACATTCTTGCGCAATAAGATATGCAATTGAGCTGCGGCGATGAATATCCCCATGCCTCATTTGCATACCTAATGAGCCGCCATTTTGCGCAAGGGGCTTTTGCGCAAGAAGAAGCAGTGTAGACGAATATGAATATCGCCGCGCCTCATTTGCTTATCTTGCGCAAGAATGCGCAATGTAGACATAGCCCTTGTGTTTACATACGATAAAAAGAGAGGAGCTCAGTTTGATAAGGTAATAATCCAGGGGTCCAGTATTTGTTCCCATTTAAATCAACATCAGAAGAATTCTTATCTTGCACAAAATTAGGATTCCATCAGCTCCTAAGTGCTTGATCCAGCTCCTCTGAAAGTCAGTGGGAGCTGAGTCAGATACATGTGTAATCAGAAGCTTTGATCACTTTAATAAAAATCATTAGATTTTATTAGTACCATCTTCAATACAGCTCTGATGGATTAAATTACTGTATGATGTTTCTCTAAACAAAAACTCTGTGTTGTAATGAATATCATGTTGTCACTGACATTTACAGGGTAATGATTTGTAAACTTGCTAAATAAATAGATAACAATTATGAAACCATTGATAGGATAATGAAGTTATGCTTCCTTTGGCGCCAAGACACTTCAATTAATTTTTTTTTTTATGAGGATGGAATGTGATTCACAGTCACAATATATGTACAAAGTTTCAATATGCACTGATTGTAAATAGCTGAGAGAGCTCGGAAATGGCATGCTGGACTATACCATATACCTTTAAGGGTTCTTAGGAATTTCTTGAGATCCAGTTGTTGCCGAAGAACCTGCAAGACAAAATACAAACAGTTGGAAACATTTCTTTTCAGTGATTTAACTGTGTAGCTACCGATTAAAGCAAACCTTATTTTAGAAATACTTGGGGGCTGTGTCCCCTGCTCGGAGCTCGGAAATGGCATGCTGGACTATACCATATACCTTTAAGGGTTCTTAGGAATTTCTTGAGATCCAGTTGTTGCCGAAGAACCTGCAAGACAAAATACAAACAGTTGGAAACATTTCTTTTCAGTGATTTAACTGTGTAGCTACCGATTAAAGCAAACCTTATTTTAGAAATACTTGGGGGCTGTGTCCCCTGCTCGCTGCGTTCGCCAACCCCCTTCTCGCAGGGGGTAGGCAACAACTGCCCTACCAAGGCTCAGCCAATCAGCAGAGGCTTCTAGAATTCAAACTTTAATTAGAAGCCAACAGTTTCCACCTGCCAATCACAGCACAAACTGTTCGCAAGCTCCTTGGTCGCTTGCCCGCTTGCCCCTTCTCCCTCCTCCTTCTCACCCCACAAGCCAGGGTCCTTTCTCCCTCCCCGAGCCAGGGTCCTTTCTTCCTCCCTTCCGCCAGCCAGGGCCCTTTCTCTCCCCACCTCCGTCATACAGCCCAGGGCTGCCCAGCTGCCCGCTGGGAGCGGAAGACAAGGAGGAGACAAGTCAGTGCAGCAGCTCCCCCAGATGGCTCAGGGGTGCTCTAGCAGCTGTGGTAAGTACAGCTGCTGGGGAGAGGGTGAGTCTCCAGGGGGGCAGCCAGATTCCGGGCAGTCAGGCACTGTGTTCTAGCTCCCCAAGAGCCTGACGGTTGGAGAGACCCCAAAAGGCCACTGCTGGCACATAAGCCTGGCTGGGAGCTGCACTCCTAGCGCCTGCCCCCTCACTCCTGGGCTTTCACGGCTCTGATGTGGGTCTGCCAGTTACTGTTCCGTGGTTCTTGGCGTTGAAAGCCCTGTGGGGTAGGGGTGGGGGTGGGGGTGTAGGAAGGGGAGTAGGGCTTGTTTTAAAATAGCAATTCCAAATGGCAACAGAAAGCAGCGAGGTTGGGCTCAAGCTAGGAGTTGGAGGGGAGAAAGGGAGGAGGCAGGAAAAACTGTTTTTTTCTGTCATCCCTCAGGAAAAACTTTTTAAAATACATATATAGAAAAAAGATACTGTTTGGGTTCATGGGTTGACATTTTCAAGGGTGTCTGGGGGATTTAGACACTTACTGGTCATTATCTTTATTTTGTTTCTAATTTTAATGGCATACGTGTTTAAATGCTCTAGACGGCTCAACCATGACTTATACAGATTGCACCTCCCTAAACTGGGACTCTGTTGTCCGGCAACATCCCTGGTAAGGCAGAACCATGGATGTTACTGAACAAGAGAGCCCTGGGGCAGCAGGGCCAGCAGCTGAGAGCCCAATGAAAGGCAAGGCTGGTGGTAGCAGGGCCAGGGCCTCAGCAGAGTGGCAACGGTAGCGGGACAGGGGCAGCCCATGTGTGCTGGCCTGCTACCGGGCTTGTGCTGAGGCAGCCCCAGCGGGGCTGCATGCCAGCCCCATGGTGGGATCAGAGCCTCAGCAGCCTGGCAGAGGAAGCCTGTCCGGGGCTGCCGCAGCTCCGCCGCGCCATCCGCAGCAGCG